GTTAGCAGTGAAGCTATTCAGTTGAGTGTAACGGTTTGTTAGAGGGACCTTTCGAACACGGCGTGTTTGAAACGATCTCTGTCTATTAACACCATTAACTGAACTGAGGTCCAGCCACAAATTTAACTAATTCTATATCTTCAACACCCTTATTTAACAAAAATAAATACATATGTAAATATATTAAATTCTCTCAGCTAACCTTGTGTCTTTTAGATATTTTATAAGTGCTTTAACTACGCAGTCTGATTGTGGCTTCCCTAATATCTACCACTTCCTGTTGTCTTCTTTGTCTTTTCCACCAGTGGTAACATCCGGTTGTTGATCATATGATGCAAAATAACTGTTTTCTATTGCAGTTTTGCAAAATACACAAATTTAAATACAGCCAAAAAACATCTCATCCTAACTTTTTGTCAAAAAAGATTTGTTTTTTGAAAAATTATTTTCAAAATTCCAATTTGCGGAATTATGTGTTCAATGAAAACACAGCTAATCTTCCATTTCCTACTAATCAAATCAACCCTAGACTGGTGGGGGTTTAGCTTTGATTTAAAGGAAGTGAGTGTTTCAGCTGTTTTGCAGTTTTCTGGAAGTTTGTTCCAGGTTTGGCGTGCATAGAAGCTGAATGCTGCTTCTCCTCGTTTGGTTCTGGGGATGCAGAGCAGAACCAGAACCAGAAGACCTGAGAGGTCTGGAATGTTGATACATCATCAGCAGATCTTTAAGCCGTTCAGTGATTTATAAGCTAACATCCGTATTTTAAAGTCTATTCTCTGAGCTACAGGGAGTCGGTGTAGTGCAGAGGGTGTAGGGTTACACAGTGAGTCAGGAACATGATGTACTGCAGCTCTGGATGTAGAAGGTTTCCATCTGAGGAAACTCAAAACTGCCTGAGATGTCCCTCTGAGGCATCGGTTTCTGATCCTGGTCTGTAGGACACAATGTCCTGATGGAGTTTGGTGCAGAAGTCTTGAGTCATCCCTCATGTTTTGATGCTCTGCTTCCAGGAAGAGAGACTTTCCTTTAGGCCTAGTCCACACATAATCTAGGAAAATTAATAAACTTTTATGCGTTTTGGCCATTCATCCGCAAAAAAAATATTATTGATAAAAACTAACCAAAATGGAGACTCAATATTATGTTTACGTATATAAACATAAATATATTGAGATCGTGCGACCAATAATGCCCCAAAATATCGATACACTTTTTTGACATGATTCCCAATCAGCATCAAATTGTGTTTTATTAACTCTATATTCTAATATCCTGTTAAAAGTAGCTCAAAATATAAATCTGTCCACACAAATGAACGCCCTGAAGTGTCGCCATGTTTATTTCCTAACAGGAAGTTGTCGTCGTTTGGAAACAATTTTATTTTAATTTTACACAACACTGCCCCCTTTTGGCTTGGCATGTTTACAGCAACATCCAGAGGTGGATTTCTGTTCGATATTATTTTATTTTTTTAAATGTGGTGAAAATTTATTTTTTTTTTTTATGAAGACAAAGCTGCTTTGGTAATTTTTTCACAAATATTGGATGAGTAAAAGGACTTCATCGTTCCTTATTTGTTGTTTGTTTCTATACTTTTTCTCCAACTGTAGTTGTTAGCTGTGTGTCCGTCGACCAAAAAATTTAAATTACGAAAAAAAAATCTGCTCAATGGAAACGCCAATTAAAAAAAAAAAAAAAAAAAAATCGTTTTTTGATCAAAAGTTGGGGTAGCTTTTTTAGTTGTTTCGGTATT